TGCATAGATAAATCATGTAATAACTAAAATAAAATACTAACTTTAAATAAAATGATGAGATAATTATCCTAGGTATGACTAAAAGTTCTTCACTTTCTCAATCTATGACTTAACTACTTTTTTTTACCAAAATAATAATAAAATTAATTATATTTAATTAAAATTCGGAATAATTAAACAAATAAATAATTTTGGTAGACTAATATACCCTTTGGATTATATCTATAAAACCCTAAACTCTTACTCATTATTCCAACCCTAGCGTCTCAGTCTTCCGCCTCCACAGATACACCCCTCCTGCGCCCGCCGCACACACCCCGCAGCCACCAGCCGCCAGCCCCCTTCCGACGCCGCTCCACGGTTCTCCGCCGTTCAGAATCACAATCGCCGGCATTTGTGCATCAAAGCGCTTGCTTGCCCGACCACCCCCAGCACCAGGCTTGCTCGCCGCAGCTACTGCCCAGATCGACACCACCGCTCAGCCGCGGTCCATAGATATGCTTGCCGCCGCCGTTCCAAATCATGCTTGCCGCCACCTTCAGTGTTGTACCATCAAGGATTCTACCGATCGAAGAGGAAGGCTCGTACAGACGTAAGGAGCTGAGTCCTATTCATGTGGACAATAATGTATCTGTCCTCTCAATTTAATTTGGATGGAATGCCTCTGCAAGATTCTTTTATGTGGTTGTGGATTTTTTTTAGTGGACCATGACATGACATGGTTTTGTTCATCTGCGGTTGCAACTTTTTTTGAATTTTTAACTTCTTTTTTTTTTGTATTTGTGAAATTAGGGATTTTGGGTATTGATTATGGGCAGTGAATATGGTAATACAAATGTTATACATGGCAGGGAATGAATGTATTGAGATGTTTGTTGTGCAGTGATTCAAAGGCAATAAATAGCGTTACAAAATTGGCAGAAAGTGCAGTGATTATAACCAGTAGTGCATTAATGCAGATCAGTAATGCCACCATGTAATGCAATATACTTAATTAGACATCAAATAATAAAACTATTAAATCCAAAAAATAAAAACTAAAAACAATAAATAAATTCCTAAAGTGAATGAAAAGAGATTTAATTTTGGAGCAAAGTGAAGTGACTATTACCGGATGTGCAGTAAAGTAATGCATTAATTTTGTGCATTAACGGCAATATAAAGTGCAGTAATTTTAATTGGATGAAATTAGTGCAAAATGCACATATTTTAAATAAGGGTATTTTTGGCATTCAACATTTAAATAGAAATGAATTTTCTATTTGTTTTTGGATTTTTGGTCATACAAAGGTATAAAAACTAGTTAGGTCATAGATTGAGAAACACATTGAGTTTTAGTCATATCCCGGTAAATTTCCCTAAAATGATACTAACTCTAAATTATATATGGAAATTGGACCAAGTAAAACTGAATCCCAAATTAAAGGCTATAGATCAAAATTGTACGCATTCATAAGTTGCTTAGGAGTTACAAGTCTTAGCACTTTAAAATTGAAATCATTTAGAACTCGTTTGGTAACACTACAACTATATGCATCAACTAGTTTTACTGAAATTTATGAAATTGTGACTGAAGTGGCCAGATTAGTTGATTTTGCTAAATTATGTAAAAATTAAATTTAAAACATAATTTATTAATAAAATAAAATAAATGAAAATTGCTAAAATTGTCCTATACGATTACTTCAGTCAATCTTACCAGAAAAATAACTCCAACCTTTTTTATGTTGATTATTAAACAACTCAGAGCGTGATATAAAAAATCACATGTTTGGTGAAAAAGTTGACTGATAACGTTGATACGACGAAAAATAGTTATCAAACGGGGTTTTAATATAAAAAAGTATATCACTAAAAAAAACTCTCTGCACCTCAAATAACTGTGTATGATGTGATTCCTCAGTGTATTATAAGCCAACTGGTGAATGATCTTTTGATTTAATATATTATTCCAGTTCGATGATAAAAAAAATAACTACGTACAAATAAATCCTAAGCAAATTTTTTTAAGTCATAATTCGTAAATAAATTCCTAATATGCGAATAATTAACTCTCAAAATATTTAGGAGAAATATTTAGTTGGACACTTGGAGTACAGTTCGTTGTACCGCACTTCCCATTTGAGGCTAAGGTATTTAGAGACCGTTTGACAACACTGTTTTTCAACTTATTAGGCTTATCAATCAACTTTTTCACCAAACACGTAACTTTTGTTTTCGCGCGTTGAATTATGTAATAAGCAGAAAAAGTAAGGTTGAATTTACTTTTTTGACTGTATTGGCTGAAGTTACTGAAGATGACCATTTAACTATTTTACATATATTTTTTCTCGATTTTATTAATAAAATGTACTTTAATTTTTTTTTCTTAAATCAGCAGAATCAGCCAATGCAGTCAATGCAGCCAGAACTTCATAAATTTCAGCAGAATCAGCCAAATCAGCCGATTTTCGTGCTACTAAACGGGCTCTTAGCCTTTTAGGGCTTCAGCCATCAATTTTTTATATAAATACATACTAGTATAATACTACCTCCGTCCCCCTAAGTTTGGGACAAGAGAAAGTGGCACGGTTATTAATAAAAGTGGGTTTATGTGGTTGATATTAAATTGATAAAGTAGGAATAAAGTAAGAATGCTTTAGAACCACACAAATTTTACCAAATAAGGCATGGGACAATCTTAGTGGGACGGACCGAAAAGGTAAAATGGGACAATCATAGTGGGACGGAGGGAGTATATATTATACTAGGGTATTATACATTTTATATTAATAGAATACACCAATTTATGCAAAAATACATAAATGGAAATATTATACGGGTATTATACGTGTTAGCGAATTACGTATATGTTAGGTCCTCTAGATTTTGATGATTAAGTTTTGATGATGCCACACTGTATTAGACTAAGAAATCTTGGACTGTAATATATTGTATCATGTTGCATTAAGTTGAAAAGAGAAGTACACAAATGAAGAAAAACAAAAACAAAAGAAGAGTCCTAAAAAGAGAAGATAAAAGAAACGTCCCAAAATAAAAAGAAATAAAAAGAGGTATGAAAAAAAGTCAACTGAATCCCTTAAAAAGAGCTGAGACAGTAGCCTCTGAAAACTCCAACCAATAGCCTACGGGTAATTTCCCCGAAATATCAGCAGCCTACTGATTCCATTCAACCAAGGAATCCGAGGTCACCAAAATCAATTTAAGTTACTCATTTTATTCTTCTCTACAAAAACAGATCAAAATATACTTTTCATAATGATTTTACTTTATGTAGAAATTATTAGTACTATTATTTTTGTGCCAAAGAGAGCAAGGGGTCTAAATTGAGGAAGCATTGAACAAACGACAAACAACTTAATCTGAATTTGTTTACCAAATACTCTGTCTACGGCCAAGATTAAATCAAAAGTTTATCTTAGCCACATGCCTTGAAGTGAAGAATTCAGAATACAAGTTGAACAAAGACATCACAACTCGTGCCATAAAAAGACAAAAACCAACCATGCTGCCTCATGGTCAAGTGGATCGAATCTATCAACGATCAAGATTGAATCTTCTTGACTAACGTGAGGTATTCAGTAAATCAGTCTATAAATACAGAAGAAGTACGTGAGAACTAAGTGTAGAACTAAGATGGAAAAATGAACCTATACGACATATCGAGCAAAGGAGCAAGTGTTGCCCATCACTCATCTTAGCTTCCTAGCTCTCACCCCACTCCTCTAAGCTCTTAGAATAATTTATGCACAACTATATCATTAGAGCTTAGTTAGTTGGAAGTTTAGATTTATCATTGTAAACTAAACAAGTTTGTAATCTCTGGAGGGTTTTGTGATCAAATCCAGAAAGTGTATGAGTGAAGATCAAGAACATGAGTAGCTTTTGACTAGTCAATGTCATTAGTGAAAAACCTTGGAGGACTGAGTAGCTTGAAATGATGTTTTTATTCCTCGTGAAAAAACCTCACAATCTATGCCTCTGGCCAAGGGTAGATTGGATATTAGTGAAAATCCATCATCTCAGGGGTGAGACTGGATGTAAGAAGATTACACCATCTTTGAACCAGGATATATCTTGTGTCATCTTTTATGTTCAGTTCTCACATCACCAACAGTCCTTACTCATTTTCACATCTATCCATACACTTAAACAACTTACTAAATCACTTATCAGTGAACTGCACAATTCATTGTAATTAAGTCCTGTTTTCATCCTTATATCGAAAAGAGGGCCTTTTCTAGGTAGGTCAAAATTCCTACTTATGTGTTTTCATACTTATGTGTTTCGTCAACTCAAAAAGCCTTAAGAGTATTTCAAGACTGTATAGCCTTTCACTATGTCTAAAATGCTCTAGCAGTATCCTTGTCATAGTTGCCTGCTGACGTGCACTTGTCGTGGTGTGCACTCAAAATAAATACAATACAACTAATATACGTAGTATATTGAAGTAAGGTTCGTATCCGCAGGGAAAGGAATACTTCTCTTTTTATAAACTAATAAATAAAAAAGGGGGGGTTTTGATTGAATGATTTAATTAAAATTGAACACGAAGATGAACGAGTTATGTGGTTTAATTAATGAGAAGAAGACTTGGCCTTGCTTTTATCCACTTAATGAAATGTTCGTCGATCCCGGTTATATCTTTAACTATCTTCCTCTCGAATACTCAATCGAGGAGTATATCCAGTTCATCGAGGGTAGTTATTAATAACGAGATGCGTTCATTAATAAAACTTACTGTCGAGTCAATATAGGACAAGCGCCGTATATTAAATTGATAGTAGCAATAAACTTAAGATGAAAACGATTGAGATTGATAACCTCAACACAAGCGGTTTATTGGTTTAATCAATATAAATAATTCCCCTTAGATTATTAACCATGAGAAGCATGTATTAGCAATCCAAGTTTACTACCATTGAAAGAACCGAATTAATAACAAGCGTATTAACCGATTGATTCTAGTAATAATTAATATATAGAACAAGACTAGTTGATACTTTAAGTAATGCTCAATATATTAATATGGGATATGAATAGGAAGTAATTAATATTCAAGGAAGAAGATTAAAGAAAATAACTCACAACTTACAAATCATTAAGCTTCAAAGTAGCAAAACCAAGATGGAAGAGTTTAGCTCCTCATTTGGAGACTAAACATGATAAAAATATAAAGAAAGAACTTGTCTAAACTGAGCTTAGAAGTATATAGGAATTGGTGATTTATTGTGGAGGAAATGGGGTGTATTTATAGGATTTTTAGGCCTGCAGGGTCGTGTACTCGATCGGGTATATAGGGTACTCGACCGGGCCTTCAGTTGCTTCGTGGAAGCTGGAAAAACATGGGCATACCCGATCGAGTATGTCGGCTACCCGATCGGGTATGGACACTCGATCGTGATCAAAATCTCCCCTGCATGTTGCCTTGTTCCCGGGTTGATCCGATTTGATTTTTCAGCGACTTACCCGATCGAGTATAGGTCATACCCGACCGGGTACAAGACCAAAAATCAGGATCTTCATTCTTTTTAGGAATTTTTGCACCTTCCTTCCACTTGTGATGTTCACCAATGGTCCCTAGAGTGGTCTTGGACCTGTTTGAGCTCAGAATCAACCTAATCTAACAATTTTACAAACATTTTACAAACTAAACTATTACACCAAAAGTGTGTAATTTCTAGAGTAACAATCACTCAAAACTAATCAAAAACACAAATAAAAACATGGAAATAACATGAATGTCACCTGCTGAATGAGCTGAAATTGAAATTGGCTGAAATTTATGATGTTATGGTTGAAGTGACTGTATTAGCTGATTCTGCTGATGTATGAAAAATCATATTTAAAATATTTTTTATTATAAATAAAATAAAAAATTATATGAAAATAGCTAAAATGACTCTTTGCAGTAACTTCAGCCAATACAGCCAGAAAAATAATTTCAACCTTATTTTTTCTTATTATGACACAATTCAGTGCGCGAAATCCGAAGTTACGTGTATGATGAAAAAACTGGTTGATAAGCCTAATAAGTCGAAAAAAAGGATCACCAAACGGGCTCTAAAACTATTATATGTACGGAGTATAATTAATTTTTATTTTATGTGAATCCATCACCATTAAGTGTTAAACACCTGCAATTAAACTTGTTAGGTTTTAATCCCATTCCAACCTAACATTATCATTAATTCATTCCAAATAAAAATATACTCCGTATTTTGTTTGATCTCTTAAATTAAAGGCTGTGTGCGGTGATGGGTCGCAATTTGGTGGATGGGTGTTGGCATTGATGACCACAAAGTAATTAAAGTTCCATCGATTGCTCTGCTGTGCGTGTCTTGCTCGATATAATAGTAACAAGAAAAAAGGAAGAAAAACCATACCGAGTTGACTTTTACACATGGCGAATTTTCTTTATTGGGCATGCTTCCTGAACTTGAAAAGGTCAAACTACACACGCTACTACGCTAGTTTTGGCGCATACAAGTTTTGTAATAATATTCCATCACAAGCTTTGTGTTCATTTGCTTTGCTCCTTTCCCACTTCGTCCATCAACATGACCCATGTCAATACCCATTCAAATAATTGCGTGTATGTTCTACAACAAATTTAAAGATAGATCTTGTTGGCGCATATATAGCCGAAAAATGCTTGATGTATACAAAATTTATACACCCTTTTTGTATACTTGTCTATCCCTAGCAGACAAGTTGTCTGTGACAGACAACTTGTGTGCTGGGGACAGACAATTGTACAAAAAAGATGTACACATTTTGTGTACATCTAGAAAAACTCTATATAGCCAGCCGGCCAGCACAAAACATATTTTCCAGAAAAATCTTCACATATTTGTTTACACATACATAAACCCAAAGTGTTTTGCAAATATGGAGTGGGCGGGTGGGCCGGGTCACGATCCAGTGTAACCCCTAGCTAGCCCCCGAGAGACCCGAGTGGATGTTGGGACTTTGAAGGAGCGGAGTCAGAAACGGAGAATCTCAGATCAGGAGAGTTTCGTACCATACTCTACACATCCAGTACCTAGTACTCCGTATTTCACTATTTTTACAGATATTCTATCAAGTACATATATTTATGCAAAAAAATACTTATATAGGATTAGAATTCACGACACCCGACATTTACCGCATCGTATCACGATAGTTTTTCGGGTTAAAAGAAAAGGATTAGAACTCACGACAACTCCCAAAATTAGCGATGTAAAATTATTTGCCAACATGTGACTATGATGAGGCTCAAACAATATGTTGTTTTTTAGTTTTCTAGAAGATTGGGGAATGCCCCGCGCCAGAAACACGAGCCAGCCAAATAGAGATCGTCATGTGAGAGGACTGGCAGCCCAATCTGAATCACACCACCCATGTCAAGTAAGACCACACTCTCCTTAGAGAAGAATACCTTGTCCAGGGATTCCGTTCAGATAACGAACAGCTCGCAATGCTGCATCTCAGGGTTCACGACGTGGTGTTTGTAAAAATTGAGATAGAATATGAACCGAGTAAGTGAAATCAAGTCAAGTAACAACTAGTTATATCGATCAACAAACAAGATGACAATAAGATTCCGGATCTTTGAGAATCGGAGCAGAGGCGGTAGCAAGCTGACAATTTTGCTCAATTGGAAAGTTGGTTGGTTTTGCACCAAGCAAGCCTACCTCAGAAATAATATCTCATTACTTGCGTTGTGTGAGAAATATGTCGATAGGGCCCCTAGCAATCTCATTACCAAGAAAATTTTTAAAAGCTCCTAAATCTTTCATATGAAAGCAAGTTTAGAGATATGCTTTAAATGAAGCAATAAGAGCAGAATAATTTTTTGAGATAATCAAAGCATCCAAATAAACAAGGACATTAAGTTGTATACCGCTCTAGGTGAGTGTAAAGCAGCTACCAATTTGGCAAACCAACAACGGGAAGCCTGCTTGAGTCCATATAATGATTTTCTGAGGCGACAAACAAGAGTGGGATCTAGATAAGGTAAAACCAGGAGGTGGAGTCATCTATACCTCTTCATTGAGATCCCCGTGAAAAAATGCATGGTGTACATCCATTTGATGTAATTCCCAGTTTTTTGCGGCTGCGACAGCAAGAAACGCCCGAACAGACACCATTTTAGTGACATGAGCAAAAGTTTCATTACAGTCACGTCCCCCCGCTTGTCGATTGTCGAACACAACAAGGCGAGCCTTGAGGTGCTCGATACTGCCGTCAGAGTGACACTTGATTTTATATACCCACCTACACTCCAAGGCACGTTTCCCAAAAGGAAGATGCTCCAAACTTCAGGTGTTATTATTTTCAAGCGCCTGAATTTCGGCTTGCATGGTTGTACGCCATCTGGGATCAGAAGCAGCCTCGCGGAAAGATCCAGGTTCATGGCTTGCTGTAATAGCCGCTAAAAGAGAACGATGTTTTGGTGAAAAATTAGTGCAATTAACATAATGAGCTATAGGGAACCGAGTACCTGAATAAATGTTTGATATGAGTGACAAGGAAGACGGATCGGGGGCAAAAATAGTGTGAGTGATACACGAAGCTTGAGAATAGAGAATACTTTGAAGCCAAAACAGTTCGCATCTTAAGGTGGCCATGGAGCAACATTCAACTTCCCCCGAAGATCGGGATACAGTGGCCTAGCTCGCTTCTTTGTTTTCCATGAGATAGCCACCCCTTGAACGATTATAAGCTAGCCTGCACAATTTTAGCATGAGTATTAAACTGAATACGACACACCATAGAAATTTTGACAATACTCATAGTCTAAATGTGGGGAATTTCAAAATAGCTGACTAACAAAACTGTGTATATCACAATCTTCAAAGGACTAGAAGTGAAAAAAAATCAAAGTTAAATATCAAAAGTGTCAATGACTCAATAGTCGAGAGGCAAAGAGTGATTGAAAGAGTAATGCTTCGTGTACACGGCATTTGTACAAGACATTTTACATTCATGCCGACCAAAATGTCTGTGTATAGACAATTTGATCGACGTTTTGTGAAGAAAATCATTTTTCGCACAAACAAACAAAATTGTATGTGTGACAAATGATTGTCTTCACAAAATGTCGGGAAAATTGTTTGTACACAGGCATTTTGTTCGGCGTGTAAAATGCCGTGTACAAATAGCATTAGTGGGTTTGAAAAGGTCAAGTTTTGTATGTGTAGGTGTTGCTATCATACATTATGGCTAAATTTATGAGAGTTGCAAATATGGTTGACATCATGTTGTACGTAGTTATTTTTTCAATATGGTAATTTATTTAAATTAAGCGCCTATGTCCGTCATTATTACAAACTAATTTCCAAGTATATTATGATATAAACTTACTAAAGTATCATTTATGAATTTTCACGGTAGAAATATATTTTGCAGGACCATGAATTTGGGGGGCTCGATTCCAAATTCAAAATCAAGGCTCCATATATTAATTTAAAAGAAACTAAAAAAATTGAATCTAAATTTGTATACCCAAATCAATTGAATTGAATATTCATTAAACAAAGCAATTGAATTGAATATATGTAAAATTTACTTAATTTTTTTTAAGTGAAACACGCATTTTTAGTCAAGAGTCTAAAAATTAAGTGTCAAAGGACTAAAAGTATTTAATACTTGAATTAAAACAACACAATCCATTATATTCAAGCAATTTGCGTAAAAGTGAATTTAAAGGAATGACAATATTATTCTTCCTTATTCTATTCATCCATGTTAATTAGGGCCCGTTTAATTGTGGACCGTGTTGTTCTGTAGAACCTGTTCAAAAATGACCCCGATTTTTGTTATAAATATTGTAAAGTTTTATCCGATAGTAGTATAGATTGGTAGTCTTCCTCAATATTTTCCCAATATGTAGTTGCCAGAAAACTAGCATCGGTTATACGTTCACGCCGAAGGTCGGGAGCACTTGCGAATGCCGCACGTGGCATGATTTAACTCAAATAAAAATGCATGTATGCAATTTCTTAATGCCTATGCGGTAAATTCTTTGTTTAAAAGGAGGTTTATTTTAATAAGAGCAAAACATGATTTGTTTTTCAAAATAGAAGCACATAGTTTAAACATCCCTAAATACGAGTTTTTATTTGTGATTGGACCAAAATATCGAAATGCTGTTACAGCCTTTACCACTCCCGGACCGCCACCTACCGCCGGACCTCCGGCCGCCGCCGCCAGAGCACTGCCGGAAAATTCCACTTTTTTTTGGTTGTGCAAGAGAATGGGGGGGGGGGGAATTAATTGGGGTAATTAATTGCCGGAGTTCACCGCCGACCGGCTGCCGGAGTGCTACCGCCACCACGGACTGCCCCGTCACCGATGGACTGCCTTGGTTCTGCAAGCAAACTAGGAAGGCAATTATTTAGACAATTTAATTAATTAAATAGAATTAGGGATAAAAAGGTAAGGTTAGTTCTATTTAGGGAAAAACATGCATGTGGTTCTCTTTTGGGGAAAAACTTGAGTTTTGGTCCTATATTGGACAATTTTCTCTTGTTTAACTAATCAGCCTATTAATTACTTTTTTCCGTGTATGTTAAAATCAAAATAAGTAAGTTTGATAAAATTTTAGTGCTGAATTTGATGATGACCACAATTCTAATTTCATTTCACATACAGAGCAACTTTTTTCAAAACAAAGTATATACTCTGTATTTAATACCCCTCCGTCCCGCTATTGTCCGGTTTTACCTTTTCGGTCCGTCCCACTAAGATAGTCTCATACCAAATTTGATAAAGTTTGTGTGGCTCTAAATTATTCTTATTGTATTTTTACTTTATCAATTCAATATCAACCACATAAATCACTTTTTATTAATTTGTGTGTTACTCCCTCTTGTCTCATTGTTAGTGGGACGGAGGGAGTATTACATATAACTATATCATATTTTGAAAACTTGAGCCGTTTTCATCACAAATTCAACAAAAGTTGTCCAATATAAGAGTAAAAGCAATGTGAAAGTGTCCAAGTATGGAAATTATGACATTAATATAATCATATTAATGCTCGATCGGGTACTTTTAATACTCGACCGACTTTCAATTTTTCCATTTTTAGCCCTCAAAGATTGAGCGAGAGACAAGTTTAGTCATCGACTTCAAAGATTCCCTCATTTAATCCCATGAGTATTATCAAATTGACACTTTTGGTTCTTTCACTATGATTATGACACAATAAGTGGATGACTAAAAATGTCACTATTATAATACTGCGTAGTGAAAAATAAAGTGTCCTTTTTATGAAAGTCGAATGACTAAATGTTAAAATTTTCAAAGACGGATACAAAAGGTGTCTTTCGCACACTAATCGAAGGACTAAAAATGAAAAAAATCCAATCTCGAATATAAAAAATGTCAGTGACATAATGATCGGAGGACTAAAAGTTAGAAAAACTCTTATAGACAATATATAGTAATCGTGTTTGAAGGAATTTCTCTAAACTTAATCATTAAAGTACATTTAATTTTAGTGTTAACAAATGGATTCTAGAATTATAAATATGCATGATACCACATGGGAGTGGTCCAAAACTACAAATGGTCCATTTCCTACATACACTTACGAGGCTCTTCCTGTGAGAAGTCATGAGTTCCACTGGTTAGTGTTGGATAAATTGGTGTGTTTAATCGAAAAATAAAGAATTTAAATAATTAAATAACCAAGAAAACAGAAATAAGAAGGGACAGAAAGTCAAAGTTTGTGCAACCTATTCGATGCATCTCACGGGCCACGGTGCTAGGAGCGTTGCAACGATAGTTCTCAGGATACGGTGGCCAGGAACTATCCATTTAAAGGTGCATTAAATTAAGGAGAAGAATGTTGGGCATTAAAGGTTGTAATGGTTCGATCAGCAGCAGCTTGCTGGTTCTTAACTCCTTAAAAGAGGGTCACCTTTAGAAGCGAGTGAAAATCTCTTGGGTTTTCCGGTGTGGGATAAATCACTCTAGAAACTCATCATTATCATAGTTTTCTCTATTTCAACGAGTGAACTTTGAGAATCAATTTCTCATTCACCCGTTATCCCTTTTGAATGTACTTCATTTCGAATCGAAGCCCTTAACAAGGAGAATACGAAACCACTTCAACCCGACCCAAATCAGAAGTGACATCTACTCAAAGTTCTACCGGAAATTGATCATTCAATATAATATATTTTAACACATTTTTTCAATAATTACATTGCACAATCAATGTTTTGTATCATTGACAATGTGAAAGATAGCTAGCTCGTTACGTGAAACTCCAAAATAAGAGCAATTTCATGTGCGTCATGCTAAACGGTGATAACCAAATAAATTATTGAAGTGAACTACTAGATAAGAAAAACAAAAATATGGACGTAAGTTTGAATGCGGGCGTTAGACGTACGCGTAAATTAGTTGTGTGCCCATTAAAAGTTCGTTGTGGTAGTTGTCCCATCTCCCAACCCCCCTTTACCATCCCTCGTACGCCCCCAAATTTACCCCTATGCCATCTTCGTTGCTCTTTAAAAACCCCCATCCATCCTCGATCATACATTCCCATGCCAACAAAATTATAAGCTACTGAGTGAGCGCCGTACACTTTGAGATTCAATTCCGGCCAGCCCCCTTAATTCACGTTCCAATACGTACTATACTATTCGAGCAACATCAAACTTATCCGTCATACAATTCAAGGGATCGGACCCAAAGATTATTTTTTAGATACGTACTAGCAGCGATGGGGGACACCGCCGCCGGGACAGGACCGAAAACGGAGAACTCCGGCAACAACAATAAACTCCCGAACTTCCTGCTATCAGTAAGGCTCAAGTACGTGAAGCTTGGGTACCATTACTTGATCAGCAACGCCATGTACCTGCTCCTGGTCCCGCTGCTCGCCGCCGTTTCCGCCCATCTCTCCACTCTCTCGGTGGACGACCTGGTGCACCTGTGGCGGCAGCACCTCAAGTTCGAGCTCGTCACGGTGGCCGTCTGCTCGGCTCTCGCCGTCTGCTTGGGGACGCTCTACTTCTCCACCCGGCCGAGGAAGGTGTACTTGGTCGACTTCGCGTGCTACAAGCCCCCGCCCGAGGTCATGTGCCCCAAGCAACTCTTCATGGACCGCTCCAAACAGGCCGATGTTTTCACCGAGGAAAACCTCTCCTTCCAGAAGAAGATTTTGGAGCGGTCCGGGTTGGGGGAGAAGACCTATTTCCCGGAGGCCCTTCTCCGCCTGCCCCCCAGTCCCAGCATGGCGGAGGCCAGGAAGGAGGCGGAGATGGTGATGTTCGGCGCCATTGATGAGCTGCTGGCTAAAACCGGGGTCAACGCTAAGGATATTGGGATCCTTGTGGTCAACTGCAGCTTGTTCAACCCTACTCCCTCCCTTTCTGCCATGATAGTCAACCATTACAAGCTTAGGGGAAACATTCAGAGCTATAACCTGGGTGGCATGGGCTGTAGTGCTGGGCTCATTTCTATACACCTTGCCAAACAGCTCTTACAGGTCAGTCCATCCCTCTCCACATTCTACCTTCTCATTCCTATTCATATTTGCAAAATCAACAAGTTTTGAATTTTGATCAATCAAAATAGCTAAATTTGATATTCCTAATCAAGTGAATAAGATGAAACAGTTTGTTAAAAAAGTTCTCTTTGCATGTTAATTTGGGATGAAGGTACTACGTAGTACTATTTTTAATTTTCTAAATATATATACTTTTAACATATGTAGCTAGTGTCTTTAACTAAACGTAACGTCCCATATTGATTAGATATAAAATCACATACCAATTCATATGAGACCTCAATATTTTCGATCGCTATCGATAATACGTACTAGCATTGTTGTTTTGGTTTCTCAGAAAATTATTAATGCTGATTATGGTGGTTGAGATGGGAAAATTTCCCACAAATTTTATATCCCAATCAATGGTCTGGGCGATAGATGTATTTCCTCTATATGCAGCATGTAACTAGCTAGAGAGTGCATTTCTTTCGTTTGGTGACTTAGATAAATAGTGTGCGTTAGTTTTCATTGGTGGAGACAATATATACAGAACATAATTAGAAAACAATACAGGTGATATAATCTTAATTAATTCATGACAGTGGAACTCAAGTTCAATTAATGATAATGTAATCACAATTCTTAAGGTGTTCATTTAGAAGTCAAAACAGGTAGGAGAATGTAAATACGTACTACTCCGTAAAATATTAATATTCATCCCCTTTTAGTTTGTTATCCTTGACTTTTATAGTATATGAAGAAAACCTTTGCCTAATCATTTCAACAATAAATTTTTTAAGAAGCTTATAAATTTTATATTTATATGATAGTATGTTTAATAAAGAACATTTTCGTATAATTTTCATATTATAAATTCTTTGATATATAAGTAAATAACCGGTCAAAATTTATCACATTTGACTGAAAAGTCAAAGAAGACTAAGAGGAGTAAATGTTTTAATGACTTTTGATCTTCTAAGCATACTAGATGAGTCCCATTTTAAAGATAATACTACGTATAAAAGTCTTCTTATTTATTTTCTATAAGATACTAGTAATATACGGAGTATAAAATAAAAATCCTCAAAAATTGTATCGTTTTTTTTAATTGCTAGCCTGTGTCTTAAAGAGGGTAGTTAAGACAGTATCGTCTTGAATTTAAAGCACATACTGACATATATACACGGATTCGAAGACAGCTTTGAGGCTGAATTCTCCCGTGGACCAATTGAATTCATAGTTGTATGTTGAGTGATTACTACATACCAACTTGGACTCCTAGCTTTAAATTGCAAGTAGCCAGCTTTTACAATTAAAAGCTAGGCTAGGCGTTTCTTCATCATCATATCATTATTGCATGAAAAAGTAGGAAACGTACGCGGTTGACTTTCCTACCTTAGGTTCTTTATCCAGGCAGATCTAATTTCCAACAAGCCAGGTGGATCTAATCCCATTTAAAGAATGTCAATCAAGCCAGCCACCCAGCCTTTAAATTCAATTAAAGCTAGCCACCCTAGCTGATTAAGTAGCTAAGCTAGCTAGCTAGTCTTTTAACCACGTTTACTTTCAAGATTTGTCTTTTAGTCAAATTAATTAAGCAGACTTAATTACACATATTTGTCCTTACTCATCCCAAATTTTTAAAAAAAAAATCTTAACCTTTAAAGTAAAATTTAAGTAAGAGATTAATGAGTGTACGCGATGAAGTAAAAATAATTAAAGATGGGATCGGAGTACTGAATGTGTTTTTTATATTTTAATGCAGGTGCACCCTAACTCGTATGCCCTAGTAGTGAGCATGGAAAACATAACTCTCAACTGGTACTTCGGCAACAACCGATCCATGCTTGTCTCCAACTGCATCTTCCGCATGGGTGGGGCCGCCATCCTGCTCTCGAACCGGTCCTCGGACCGGCGGAGGTCCAAGTACCAGCTGGTCCACACCGTCCGCACCCACAAGGGTGCGGACGACCGCAGCTACTCGTGCGTCTTCCAAGAAGAAGACGAGAAGCGAGAGGTGGGGGTGGCGCTCTCGAAAGACCTGATGGCGGTCGCAGGGGAGGCGCTGAAGACGAACATCACCACGCTCGGCCCCGCTCGTGCTCCCGATGTCGGAGCAGCTCCTGTTCTTCGCCACGCTGGTCGCCCGGAAGGTGATGAAGCTGAAGATCAAGCCGTACATCCCGGACTTCAAGATGGCGTTCGAGCACTTCTGCATCCACGCGGGAGGGAGAGCGGTGCTGGACGAGCTGGAGAAGAACCTGGACCTGAGCGAGTGGCACATGGAGCCGTCCCGAATGACACTTTACCGGTTCGGGAACACGTCCAGCAGTTCGTTGTGGTACGAGCTGGCTTACGCTGAGGCTAAGGGGAGGATCCGGAAGGGTGACCGGACGTGGCAGATTGCGTTCGGGTCTGGGTTCAAGTGCAACAGTGCGGTGTGGCGGGCCTTGAGGACCGTTGACCCTTCTAAGCTCAAGAACCCTTGGATGGACGAGATTCACGATTTCCCAGTTCAAGTTCCCAGAGTGGCCACCATTAACTAATTAATTAATTACTAGTAGTATATATATTATGAGCTGAGATTTCTTCAATTCTAATATTCCATCAAGAATGTATACATATATCCTACATGCCTGTCTAGCTTGAATCAATCAATTTCTTATATATTCCCTATATATTACGGAGTACTTTGTATTCATTAGTCCTAAGGTTAATTAATTACTTGGCATTTAAGAAAAAAGGGGAATCGAAGATTGAACCCGTCTGTGTAGCCAACCCGCTACTTGAATTATATTGGAGAATGCATGCCATGGAAGAAAACAAGTTACATTTCTCTCAAAAAAAAAACAAGTTACATTCCTTATACTTAAAGTCTAGCTCTCTCAATACTAGATTACTAGCTCTTATATTTTTATCATTAGGTGCATATATGTACGTATATTATAACAATGAGATTCATAGTTGCTACAAGCTAAGCTATTCCATGTTGCTACAACATGTACGTATACTCAAAACACTTTGCATGTCAAAAGCAGTTTCACTCAATGCTTATATTGATACTTACTAATTGCAACCCATAAAATCAAAATATTAGTACATTTTAGAGATCTATTATTAGGGATCTTCAAAACGATCGCAACACCACCAATTAAGTTGCACTGGCCTGGTAGCTAGCTAGCAAATCCTTTCAAATATCCCCAGACACGTTTGTGGATGTTCTAAATTCCAACACTGTCCAGCTGGTTGTATTGCTACGTAATTGTCTGTCCTGCCCATATTTCTTGACACCGGAGTTAATGCATGGCACGTCCTTCTCCTCACAAGTAGAGCATGATCGAATTGGCATCCTTTTGTCCGCTGTACTAATAACAGATTCCGGGTAATGTTGGAAATGCTGCATTTTGATACCTTAACTATTAAATGAATCAAAACGGTATCTTAATTATACGTAAATGTTTCGAATTGAGATTTTATTCAAATTTATGACCAAAAAATCACGCGCGACGGCCATAATTCTATGCGTAAAGTCTACTTCACTTTAGTTTTGTCCATATGATCACTATAAGGTGATTCTACACATGAATTTTTTATCGTCATTAAGGATTTTTTGGTCGGAAATTTGAATAAAATCTCAAATTGAAACATTTATGTATATTTAAGGTATTGTTTTGATTCATTTAAGAGTCAAGGTACCAAAATACAACATTACCAATAGTTAAGATATCATTTATGCGTTTGACCCAACAGATTCTACTCAAATTAAAGTCAGTTTAAACCACTTTTCAGGTGATGGATAATCTACCCGGGGGGTATCTTATCCGAGGGGTTATTGCGGGAATAAATCCGAGAGAGGTCAGAGCAAATAGGAGGAGAGAGAGTCGATTTATTAAATGAACTCGAGATGTGGAGTTGGGATGTAGATCCTGATTTACAAGGAGAAATGGGCTGCTATTTATAGCAGCAATAAATGCGATAAGTGTACACGTGTCGGCAATCCAACGGCCGAAGGGTCACATCAGCTGGGTGGCACCGGCAGTGGTACGTTTACCGCATTGAATGCGGTTGGCGGATGTGACGTGGTATTAAATGCGGTGGTTGGCTGTCTCCAAAAGGAATCTTCGATGATTGGGCATGTTCGGCCGAAGGCTCCTTGTGTAGCCGAGGGCTCCTTGTGTAGCCGAGGGCTCCATGTGGTAAGGACCCTTGTGTGGCCGAAGGCCTCGTGTGACGAGGGCTTGGTTCAGCCGAAGGCTTCCCTGATGCCGAGGGCTTGATAGTGCCGAAGGCTCATGTTTTTCGCCCTTTTCTTCCAGTAGCTTCGTACGCCAGAGAAAGCTATCCCGTGAGTTTTGGAGCCTTTGGCCAAGGAGGCCGAAGGCACCCCAGTGTGTATTCCGGACTACTTTGAGGCTTGGGGCGACGCATTTGGGCCTGAGTTGTTCTCTGGGCTCAACGGACTTGTGTAGGAGAAGTAGGAGTCTATGGGCCGGGGGTTCCTGGGCCATATACTCCATCAGGAGTCCCTCACTCCTTTTGCCGAAAGGTACTTGAGGGAAAAGGAGTAGCTGTGTTGATCCTTCCGGAGGCTACATTACTTTGTTGGGCGTCTTTGTTTGAGAACTTGCCTTCCGCTGTTAGCCGAAGGCTTCCCTCAGTCCCTCACATGTCGAGGGTTTTCTGAAGGGAGTATAATACTCGTATGAATGCCGGAGCCTCTCCTCAGTCCCTCACATGTCGGGGGTTTTCTGAGGGAAACTTTTGATATTTTATTTTGCTATTGCCGAGGGGTGCACCGGGTCACGTGCTCGAGGGGTTCTACCTTTGCCCGGGGGCTGTATGCGTTAATTGTAAATCTTTGCATGAGGAGCTTTTGTCCTGTATGATCCCCGAGGGGTATACCCCAGTCCCCCACTCCTTTAGGCCAAAGGCTAGTTAGGGATGAAGGAGTTATAATGTGTTGATGCAAACCTGAGGGGTGACAACATTGATAAGCCGAAGGCTTATGCTGCTACGGGCTCGAAGGCGTTTGGTGGAATTCGTTGCCTGAAGGCCGCGGTGAGTGATAACCGGAGGCTATCATTCGGGGGCACCCCAGTGTTGCCGAAATATAGTCGTTGTAATATAGCCGTTGGAAGAGGGGTTGACGTGGCGTGTCCTCGTTGGTTTGGGGTGGGCGGCTGCCAACCATTGGTTGAACCGGCGGCCCGTAATGATGGCCTTTTCAAATCGAGGCCCAGTTCTCGAGGCTGAAAGCCTATATATACCCCAAGGTGGAGCTCAATTCCCTTGTGCGTTTTTATGCGATAGCGAAGCTCTGCCAAAATTTCTAGAGAGAGAAAGTTTTTGTCTCGATCAAACCCCTTTTCTCAGGTTAGTTCTTCACCTGTTCTTCGCTTTACTAGCGTACTTCGCTTTTCTCCCTTGGATCTTATGTAAGAGGTCTTAGGAGCCTTCGGTAAGAACACTTAGGTAGTCCCTCTCTGCCAAATCTCTCCTATTCTTCCTTCGGAATTATGTCCGCACAGGGCGATTCCCAAGATATCTCGAGGGAGCCGTCGGTGCAGAAGGAGAGTTACTCGGACGTGGTGTCTTCGAGTGAGCAGTCGTCGGTGAACGATGACCTTGCCGTAGCTGAGGAGGTACAGAGCAGGCTCCGGGCGGAAATGGAGGCAGAGGATTTTGAACAAGTTGTGGAGGACGAGGAGATGGCCCTCGCTCTTCAGGTGGCTGAGGAAGAAGAGGAGAAAGAGAGGCAGCGAGTCACGGTTGCTGTTCTGCCTTCACGAGGCGCTGGTGAAGCGAGTAGCTCCCGGCCTATTGACGCTGTCCCCCTCCGGGTAGCCTCCGGGAAGAAGAGAAAGAAGCAGAATGCTGCCCCGAAGAAGAAACAGGTTGCGGTGGATGCGGGGCAGCCGGTTGGAATTCCCGAAGGGCACTCGTATCTCAACACGGCTGCACTTGAGTTGAAGACATCGGCGGGAGAGGCGGAGTTCCTCAAGACTCAATTATTGGTTGGTCCTTCGGCACAGGTGGTAGTGCCAGGGCCCGACGACGTGCTGCTGCATCCTCCGGAGGGTTGCTATGCTGTCCACATTCTTTCGGTGGAGTTGGGTCTCCGGTTCCCGCTCCACCCTTTTTTGGTAGAGTATCTCCGGTTCGTGGGTCTCGCCCCCTGCCAGCTGACCCCGAACAGCCATTCTTACATCACCGGGTTCCTCTCGCAATGCCGGAGCCGAGGGGTTGTCCCAACATTGGACCAATTTTTCCTATCTTTCAACTTGTGCCGGGGGGGGGGGGGGGGGGGGGGCAATAGTGAGGGCTTTGCAAACCTCCAGCAGGTGCCGGCATGGAGACTCTTCTCGGAGGTGCCTTCGTCCCACAAGGGATGGAAGGACCGTTTCTGTTACCTCAGGATGCCGGGAGCTACCTTCCCGAGGCCCCTTCGGAACCACTTTCGGAGACACCCCAAGGTGGGCAATGCTGCCCTTGAGGCTGACGGAAAAAAACTAAAAGCGAAGCCGCCCGGTTCAGAAAAGCTGATGACTATCAAAGCCGCCACACTTCCGGAGGAGTTGCTTAAGCTAGAATTTCGGCGGTATCGCTTGCCGGGGGAGAAAGATGAGAGATATCCCCTCCTTGACCGGGGCTCCCCGGGTGATAGAGGTTGTTGCCGAGGGCCCTCGCCATTAGTTCTTAGAGATGTAAGTCTTTGATCTGTATTGATTCTAACGCCTTCCTCTTTTTTTTTTGCAGGCGGCATTATGGACCCGAAAGCGTTCGCCAAGCTGTCCAGGCAATTGGCCAAGGACAAAAAGAAGAAGGAGGAGAGGCCTCCGGCACAGCCGCAGGTGGACGCCCTCTCCAAGAAGCAGGAGACCTCTGAGGGTCAAGGGCCCCCAAAGGGGGCTGCAATTGCTGGTGCCGGTACTGATGCCGGAGGCTTCAAGGAGGGGGAGCTCAAGCGAAAAAACGCCGGGAAGGGCGTCAAGCCTCCGGAAAGGAAGAAATCGAAGGGGGACGCTGAGCCGAAGGATACCCCCTTGGTGATTATTGACGATCCCCCAACCGACCAGTCGTCGGCCTCCGCTCCCCTGGAGGATCTTGTCGAGGGGGCCTGGCCCCTTGAAACGGTACATTTCCCCATCAAGAAGGGGACAACCATGATGCATGGCACCCTCGACCCGAGGGAATTCTTGAGGGGTGCTACTCCCTCGGTGGATCGGTCCACCCTCAGCCGGTTCGGGGATGAAGCCCTCGAGCTCAAGGCTCTTCAGGCCTCGGCCACTGTAAGTATTTCGACCTTTAGGATCTTCCGTTATTGCGTTCCTTTTCCCTTGCATAATCTGATCCCATGTGTGCCCCTGTTTGCTTGCAGGCTAGCTTGGCCTTCGGGGAACTTGTCCGCAGGGCGGAACAGCACCGCCTTGAGAAGGCGAAGTCTGACGAGGTGACGAGGAAGCTCGTTGCTAACAATACTGAGGCCATCAGGCAGCTTGCTGTATTGGAAGAGGCCCTTCGGCAGGCAGAGCAGAAGCTGGAGGCTGCGAGGCAGGAAGCTCGGGCCGAGGGCAGAGCAGAAGCTGAGAAGGCTGCCGCCAATGCTGCCAAGGCCGCTGCTGAGGCCGCCGAGGTTGCCAAGAGGGACGCAGCAGCCGAAGCGGCGAAGGATGCCATTGACGCCTTCAAGGCCGGGGGCTGGAGAACCGAGGGCCACAAGGAATGGGTGGCTTCGATCATTCCGGAGGCAGTCGAAGAGTGGGTGACAGGCCCCGGGGCCATGTGGCTAGCCCGCAAGGGTAAGTCCTTTTATGAAGGGGGCCAATACTTCACCCAAGCCATGCTATACCGGAGGCTGGCCAGGCATCTTGGCATGGACCCAAAAGATTTCAAGCCTGAGACCCATGGCCTCCCCCCGTTGGTTCCTGACATCAGGGTTCCCCTTCCCGAGGGCGAGGAGAGGCAGCTGCTGGAAGATTCGGAACTTGATGGGCTGGCCTCAGATGGTGATGAAGATGCCGAAGA